GCAACACAAGTCTCTAGGCAAAAGGGACTGATACACTGTCACGACAGGGACTGTGCCTTATGTCCAGGGCTCTGTCCACCCTGGAGCTGAATCGGAGACTGAAAATAATAGAATGGAGTCTCTTGCTCATGGAGAGAAATCTTGGCAAGAGCAAAGCTGACTGTCAAGGTCATTGCTAAAAGTTATTCCAGGCAAAACATGAAGCCTAGTGCTGAAAAGGTGAACTGAAAACACAAAAGAAGCCTCGTCCTATGAGCTAGCAGCAAGACAAGAGCTCAAGATTAGGAGGCCATGGAACTGCTGAAGCCCACAAGGGTTACAGCAAGCAGATGGAACTCAGACTAGCTCCTTCTGTAGTGTGAACTGGTAAGAACATATCAAGTTGACTAGGTCCTGGAGGCACTTGGAGAACACAAGGGAACAGTAGGGGCTCAGAGCCCTCCATGCATCTATTGGTATCTTCTTGTCTAATTGTATGGCTGGTTTACTACAAGTTTTCATATTTTTGGTGGCTTCAAGATGAGCTGGCACATTTGTGGTGAAGACAACAGCTCAGCATGTACTGTAGGTTGTCATCATGGCCAGTGGATGCTGCATCTGTGCCAGCATGGCAGACTGAAGCTGAAGTCTCTGTAGAGGAGGGCTAAGAAAGGTGTCTGCCTGCCTGCCAGAGTCCTTCAGCCTCAGGAGGGTAGGGACAGGAAGCTCTAACAGGTGGAAGAATTTAAATTGCCAAACTGCTGGGGAGAGCCAGCCAGAAGAGTGTGCATACTGCCAAAACTCCTGGGCAGAAGGCACATAGTGGCCGAAGGCTGAGTTAGCAGTCACCCCACAGAGGCATTTCATGCTCTCTCTTTGGGAATCCTGAGGGGTCATGGTTTCTGATGGTGTGCCACTGCATCATGCTTCTACGTTTGTTCAAAAGACACTTCTGCAGCTGGGAAAATAGCTCAATTGGTAAAGGGCTTGCCTTGCAAGTAAGAGGACTTGGAGTCGATCCCTGGAACCCAAGAACCCAAGTTTCTTTTTGTTGTTGTTGTTTGGTTGTTTTTGTTTTGTTTGTTTGTTAAATCCAGGCATGGTGGCATGCACTTGTGATCTCAGTCAGTGCTGGGAAGATACAGATAACTGGAATCAGAATACACAAATGAGGCTTGCTGGCCATTCAACAAGTCTACCTGGTAAGCCCCAGGCTAATGAGAGACCCTTTATCAAAAAATCAGGTAGAGAGCACCAGAGGAATGGGGCTGTTCTTTGGCTGCTGTAAACATGTGCAAACACTTTCACTGAGACTGCAAACACATGCACCTGCACATACATGAATGTGTATGTACAAAACAAACAAAATTATGCTTCTGTGAGGATTCCATCCTTGTGCCAATCTTGAGTTGTGGGTGGGCAAATGTGACTGTCTCTAAACGCTAGGCAGAAATAAAAGCTCAGGGAGGGCTTGCAGTCTTCATGTAGGACTTGTGTGCCTCCTTCTTTCCAATAGCTTCCCATGACAATGTAGGTATCCACTGACCAGGAATGCAGCAGTGCAAAGCACTCTAGAGAACAGTAAGCTAAGTCCCTAAAAGGTATAGCTTTGGCTCTTGCAGGCTGTTTGTAAGGAATACACAGAGGAGCCACACAGAACACTGAATGATCTGGACTCAGAAGTCAGCTTTGTGCTCATCCACGGCCTAGGCAGCTTCCTTAACAGAGAGCAGAGTCTGTCACACATCTAAATCTAACCTCCACTTTGACTGGCATTTGCCTACTGTTAAACTCATTAGATGATCTATCTTGTCATGAAGCCAAGACTTGCCTTTGAATTTGAAAGTCCAACCCAAAAGGGCAAGAACCAGAACAGAACTTCCACCAGACTCAAAGAATCTTCTAGTCAAAAAAAAGTCTGGTGCTGCATTTCATAAATACCACATTTTGGGAAACCATGTATACACTGTTCTTAACAACTAAGCACCAGGCATATTTGTGTATGCCGAGTCATTTAAAGTATAAAAATAGTAAAGGGGTTTGGTTAATTATTGTGTTGGAACCATGTATGCCTTTTCAAATATTTTTCTGTAAGGAAGATATATTTTCAATTCACAAGCATACTGTGTGAAAGAAAATATTTCCAATTAGTCATTCTTCAAAACCATGCTGAGAATGCAATGATATTAGTCATAACATACCATGATATAAAATTAGGTTTCATACATGAAGGGGAGCTGGGTCCCCATCTCTGTAGAACTCTTCATTCATCCTGGTGTAAAATGCCAGCACAGCTGCTCTGCGTGTAAACGTCCCCACACTGCAAACCTGACCCAGCCCCTTCATCGTTACAGTGACAATGTGCAGGCCATTTAGGTGTAAGCAACTGAATCTGCCAAGGCCAACAGCATTACTAGGCAAGAACACTATGCTGGCTCAAGAAGTGAGATGATATTTTCAGTAAAAGAAAGAAGAAGAAAAGAAAATCTAAAAAAAAAATCATCAGAAAGCTTTGAATCATACATAACCTTTAAGTTTCTATTCAATTTATTAACATGGATCTAAGAAATCCTATCTATGCCCATTACCCTTCCCCACAATTCATGTTCAACAGGTTGTCTGCTATTAAAGACTAAAATATGATTAAAAAGAGCTTGTATTCCCATATATTCTACCTTAAAATAACATTTTTTTTCTTTTCTGTAAAAGATAAGCCATGAATTTTTATAAGGAAAGATGAAAAAGATGCATTTTAAAGAGCATTCTTGCTTCAGCAAACTCCAGAAACAAATATGTTTGAAGCAAAATTTGTCTATCCCTCTGTCAGAGGAAAAGAAACAGTGTAGTGAATCCTTTCAGATTTCCCTAAAGCTTGCAAGTTTCTTATATAAGTTTTAGTGTCAGTTTAAAACAAAACTACTCTTATCTTAATATGTAGTCTTTGTCTAAATCCCATCCAATTCCACATGGTCTAGTCTTCCAAATTATACTTTTGTCTAACAATAATTTTCTATGACCAAAGATATACACTCAAAGATATACACTCTGCTTTTCACATCATTTTATTAAACTACCGAGTCCATTTCAATCATTATCCACTATTGTCTTTAAAAGTCTGACATCACTCTTACTTTCTTGTTTAATTCACCCTCAAAACATTCCCTTCAGTCTAGGGAACAGTCCATATCAGATCTGCAGCCATTGTTTCTAACTTAGTAATCTGTGTTAAAGTTACGTGCTCTGATGAGCTAATTGAGACAAACCACTTAAACATAATCTAAAGACAGAGGTAGATGTGCAGTTCAGACTACACTGCTGTGGCCTATGAGAACACACATGGAAAAGGCAGGCATGACCCCAGCACACGTGTACTTGCCGACACCTGGCACGACAGGGAGCTGCAGGGGCATCGCAATTGAAACAGAAACACTTCAGGCTTTGTTAACATTCATCCAGGGCCACTCTGCACCCATGTATGCATTTATTCCAGGCTCTCCCTTTGCCTTTTCTAAAGGTGTATCTTCCTGTAAGATCTCTCCAGCAAATCCACTAGCATTGTTTGAAACACAGGAAACAGTGTTGAATAGTTCCTGCAGAATGAAAGCTTTCCTAATATGAAACCCTCTTAAGCAGGTTTTAAGAATATGTTCTGTTTTCAAATAGTAATCCAGAAAGGGGGGGCGCTCTGTCTCTCTGTCTCTGTCTCTGTCTGTCTCTCTGTCTGTCTCTGTCTGTGTCTGTCTCTGTCTGTCTCTGCCTGTCTGTCTCTGTCTCTCTGTCTCTCTCTCTGTCTCTCTGTCTCTCTGTCTCTGTCTCTCTGTCTCTCTCTTTCTCTCTCCTGTGTGTGTGTGTGTGTGTGTGTGTGTGTGTGTGTGTGTGTGTGTGCGCTCGTGCCCGCGCGCCCGCGTGCGTGCATTGGGGAATGGTACATTTTCTGTTTTGTTGAATCTCAGAGGCCAAGAGAAAAGGGAAAGATCTGTTGAAAGCTCACAGTGAAATGGTCAGTCTCCCTAACAGCCCAGTCCGCCACCCTTTCAAAACCCTACCAACAACATCAATGGACCGGGTGGGTGGGGGTCGGAATACATGCTTACAGACTTCGGACACGTTCAAACAACACTTACACTCAAATCAAGGTCTGCGTTTTTAAAATCAGTCCATATGGATGCGAGTCCCCAAAGCTCGCTTCCTCTCCTACTTCCACCCTGCTTGCAAGGAGAATCTCACACACTCACCAGCAGGCAGGGCAGGGTCACAATTCCAACACGCACAGCACGGAGTGGACAAGTGAATTTTACCCAGTTGGGTCAACCATTCCCCTAACCTCACGGGTTAAAACCACCTAGAAATGAACAGGCTGCGCACTGTAAGAAGGTTGTGCAGGGAGCGAGAGGGCTCCAGAGAAGAGATCATATGTAGTTTAGTAGCCACGGCTAACCCAGAGTAAACGCGCACCCTGGCTCAGTACCCTCTCTCAGGTCACAGGAGTGCAAAAGTCGCCTCTTCACCCCAGGAACGCAAGCCCAGCAGTCTCCCCTTGCTGAGAGGTTGACTTAGCTTTCCTAAAAACGGCATTAAAAGGCACACACAGGACCCAGCACATGGGCGCACTGACACACGGCTCTGGACCACCCGTTTCGCATTTGGATCCCTCATGCAAGGGAGAGAAAAGAAGCCCAAGGGAGCTGAGCGGGCCGATCCGGGCGCTCCCTCGGCCACCGACCGCCTGTCCCAGTCCTTACCCAGGCGCTCCGGTGCCGCCACCGCATTCTCGACCCTGGGTCTCCGCGCTCCAGCTCTTCATCAGATTGATCCCGGGTTCCCATCCCCGCAAATTAACAAAAGCACCTCTCTTCGTCCCTCCCCAGCCCTCCCCTTAAACTCCGCCAGCAAACACATTTCCTACGGTCAGGGAAAACTTTTTCCCCCTTTCTTTCACCACCAGATAAGGCAAGAAACCGGGTCAGCGGTCGCCGCCAGCCGCTCTGCCTTGCGCCGCGGCGAGCACCGCGTGTTCTTACCTGGCAGCCGCGTTCCAGGTGGCTGTCCCACGCGGGTCCTCCGCGCCACCCCGAATCTCCCGGACCGTCCGGTCCGCACCACGGAACCTCAGCGTCTCTCAGCTCGGCGTTCCGAGACAGCGACTGTCCTCAGGCTCGCTCGTGCACCGGAGCCGCCCTTCTCTGCATTGCCCGGCTTTTGGGTGCAAGCGCAGCCGCGGCTCCTCCGGGCGGGTGAAGAGCGCGGGGCTCCCGGCTGCAGCCGACTTGGCCCGCGGTTGCGCTCCCGGTCCGAGCGCGCTCCGCCCGCGGGCAGCTGCGGCCGCGCGTCACATGCCGCCTCCGGGCAGCAGCCGTGGCACCTGCCCGGGCGACCGCACTGGGGCTCGGCTGGTCCGCCCCCGCGTCCTGCGGGCCCCTCCGCGCCCCAGCCCTCTCTGATCTCGCCTTAATTTTTTTTTTCTTCACTCTCTTGCTCTCTCACTTTCCCCTTCTCGTTCCTTTTCTCTCTTTTTCTTTATCTTTTATTCTTTTTTTTCCAAAAGCAGGCAGACGGCGCTCCAAGTGGGAGGAGATCTATCCCTCCCTACGAACTCTTCCTCTGCCTGGTGGTGGCGATCGTGGCTACTGCTGCCCCCGTCCTCCTCCCCTTCCTCCTCCTCCTGCTTCTTCTCCTCCTTCTTTCGGTATAACACACTAGCTGTCTACTGAAGCCCCAAACCTGCTCCACTTCTGAGCATGCCCAGTGGCCGTATGGGCGCCTTGCTGCTCCCCGCGTGCAGGCTTGGCTGCATTATCTGCCTGGCAGGGGTGAAGGGAAGCCGGTTGAGGGAGATCCCGGGTGGGATCGCTAGAGGCTGGGCATAGAGCCCGGGAGAGGAGCGTCCACCGACCCAGCTTGGCTTCACGTGTTCCCTAATTGAGCCCCGGGGCTTCAAGGGCGGACTTTAATCAGGTTTCATGTTCCCTTTGAAACTTGAAATGGGTTTCCTTCAGTTGCTTAGAAGGGTATGAAGAATGCGATTTCTTGGGCTGAACTTGTGGATGAGCGAACCTCCTCAGTTCAGTGAAAATACATGACCTGGCTGGCAACCTTTCTGGGGGAGACAGTATGGTGCGAGTAGGATTTGAGGTTTAGTGATAGTCTGTTTAGAGCGAAGTAGCAGAGGACGCCTCAGTTTTGCTCCCCAGAAGTTTACACTTTAGGAGAAATTAGCGGAGCACCGGTGAAAACGACGCGTCCATGCGCATATACGCATGCGCACACACTTTTTTTTTTTTAAACTGAGAAAAATAAAACTCGTAGTCTCGCTAGATAGGTCTTCATTATAATTATTTTTTTTTTCTTGCTTGCTTTTCTAGCCCTCCCCTTCCTTGGTCTACCTTGAACTCCCATCTTGATCTTTCTCTCCCCCATGTGGTGGGATTTCTGGCAAACCACCTAGCCAGCCTAGCCAGGCTTTTTAAAATTCATATACAACTCATGAGGAATGTGAAGCTGGGAGGAGAGGGGATTGCTTACTATAGACTACTGTCACCTAACTAAATAAGGACAAAGTGGAGAGCTGTAACAAAAGTACTAGATACCAAGGAGGCTGCCCCACAGAGCTATGTGACTTTTCCGGAAAGCATATAAAGAAAGATGATAGAACATTCTTTTTTTTTTTTTTTTGGTTTTTCAAGACAGGGTTTCTCTGTGTAGCTTTGCGCCTTTCCTAGAGCTCACTTGGTAGCCCAGGCTGGCCTCGAACTCACAGAGATCCGCCTGGCTCTGCCTCCCGAGTGCTGGGATTAAAGGCGTGCGCCACCACCGCCCGGCCGATAGAACATTCTTATAAGAGCACATGCCTGCAATCCCAGGACTTGACCGTCTGAGACAGAAGGTCCATGAGTTCAAGTTTAGCTTGGGCTAGATAGATACATAGAGTCTGTCTCAAAAAACAAAACAAAAGTAAACACCTAAGAAAGGACCAACACAGCAATGTCCTTGGCAAGAGGAGACAAGGGGGGAGGGAAGGAAGGGAGGGAGGGAGAGAGGGAGGGAGGGAGGAATAAGTTCCAATAGAGAGGGAGTTGGGGAGGAAGGAGGGAGATGGGTAAGGTTGAAGACAGTAGGTCAGAGGAATAAGGGAGGAGGGGGAAGGAGTAGGGTCCAAGACAGGAAAGTAGGGGAATAGAGGAAGGAGGGAGGGAGGGAGGGCAGACAGGGCACAATATGAAACAAAACTCCCCAATGTTAAAAAAAGCAAAATAGTTTTTGGTTCTATTTAGAGCAAGAAGGGAAAGAGAAAAGATGGAGATTTGATATGGAAAGGTAGCCAAGGAATAGAGAGTGTGGAGTACAAAGGTTCCTTTTGAGTCTGTCTTTTCCGAGTAGAACAGTCTTTAGGAGAGACACTACTAAACATTGCTCTTGAATCCAAGCCATAGGAAAATCTGAATGAGAAGGTGTGTGTGTGTGTGTGTGTGTGTGTGTGTGTGTGTGTGTGTGTGTGTCTGCTTAATTGAGACAAGCATCCAGGCTCAGGTGAGTTGCACACTGGATGCTGGAGTGATAAGCAGCATTCCTATAGTAGAATCTTGTTCCCATACCTTTCAGATGGAAAGACAGTTATGGCCTTCACGAGTTTTTCAAAGTTTCAAAACAAACAGTCAAACAGCATATTGAAACCATTTGTTTTAAGTACATCAGGGCTGGAGAGGCAGCTTAGTTGGTAGAGTGTCTGCCAAGCATTCATGAAGTCCTAAGTTTGATTCCCCAGTACTGCATAAAGCATGGTGGCAGGTATCCATAATTACACTGGGGAGGTGGATCCAGGAGGATCAGGTGTTCAAGGTCATTCTTGACTACATAGCGGGGAGGAGAAGGTCAACCTGGGATACAGGAGATTCCAAGAAAAAAAAAAGTTGAATTTCTTTGATCATGTACTTGACTTTTTCTTGTTGTTATCCCCTGAACTATACAGTATAATAACTATTTACATAGCATTTACATTGTGCTCAATATTGTAAGTAATTGAGAGAGGTTTAAGAATGGAGAAAGATGTGTATGCCATATACAAATGATGCTTATGTAAGGGTCCTGAATATCTTTGGATTTTGGTATCTACAAGGGTCTCACAACTAATGTGCTGAAGATATTGATGGAAGGCATATTAACTGGTGAGTTATAAGAATAGAATCTAGGGGCTGGAGAGATGGCTCAGAGGTTAAGAGCACTGACTGCTCTTCCAGAGGTCCTGAGTTCAATTCCCAGCACCCACATGGTGGCTCACAACCATCTGTAATGAGATCCTGCACCCTCTCCTGTATACATAATAAATAAATAAATCTTAAAAAACAACAACAACAACAACAACAACAAAAAACAGCTGGTCTAACCTAAAAGTGTGCGCCGCCCCCACCATCACCCGGCTTTAAAAAAAAAAGAAAAGAAGGAAAAAAAAAAGAAAAGAAAAAAAAGAAAAAAAAGAATAGAATCTAACATCTGTGAGGCATATACTATATCCTGTTCAGTGTGAAGTGTTTTTTCCACCTCAGGGCCCTTTTATCCAAAGCAAGGGAGAGCTAACCCGGTAAGGGAAGTATCCATTTTACAACTAAGAAGAGGAGCATGGATTCACATGATCACATTGCCCATTAGAAGGTAGGAGAACAGGTAGATACCTTCAATAGAATTTGGAGAACCCATAGGCAGGTTTCTGTTGATCATGGCTTCCAAAAAGCATCCACATGTGTCTTTTTGTTTGAGGGCAGTGCTGAGTAGTTTTCCAAAGAAGTCATGAAATAAATCAACTGTGACTAGTCAGGAGAGGAAAGGAAATATTTACAATTTAGCAAAAATATCTTACCAGATTAACATCCTTTCCTTCTGTGCCCTCCCTGTGTCTGTGTCTCTGCTGTTCTCTCTCTCTCTCTCTCTCTCTCTCTCTCTCTCTCTCTCTCTCTCTCTCTCTCTCTCTCTCTGTGTGTGTGTGTGTGTAAAACTCATCCTTGCTTACATACCTGCATAAGTAACTTGTATTTTATCTTGATTCTAAATAACTTCCTGTTGCCTCTATGAACAAGACAAATGAAAATTTAATGTTTGTATTGAACAAACTACAGACTAACAGTTCAGATAGAATTGCCCTGAGTTTCTTGGTAAGCAGACTATATTTGATTAAAGTAAGGAATTTATTTCTAAGTTTGATAACTTATTGTTCAGACCCATTGTTCAAGTGGCATTTCAGAGGAATATGTAAAGCATATTTACTGGATTTGCAAATGAACTTGTCCAAGGTCAATGCTACTTTGTAACACATCAAAAACAAAACACCCGTGAATATTTACTCTTAGATACTGATCTGAAACAAGGCAGATAAAATGGGACTGGAATACATTTTGATATTCTGCATAAATTGAATACATCTTAGATATTTGTTGTCTAAAAAAACAATGCAAAGAAATTATAAGATTCATTCAGTTGCTAAAGGGAAATCTCTTGTTATAGATAAGAAAAATAGCCAATCACCTAAACACTTACCTTTCTGCTGTAAAAATACCTACAAACTCTGGGAAAAGGCCGAGCAGTGGTGGCACACGTCTTTAATCCCAAAACTCAGTAGGCAGAGCCAGAAGGATCTCTGTGAGTTCGAAGCCAGCCTGGTCTACAGAGCAAGATCCAGGACAGGCACTAAAACTACACAGGAAACCCTGTTTCAAACCCCCCTCCACAAAAATAGCTTCAAACTCTGGGGGGAAAATCCAAAATAATACTTTTAGACATAAAGCACAGCCAACAGAAGGTTGAAATTCATTTTTTCTTTATGAAATATATTTTTTTAAATAGAAGAAATGGTGAAAGTCCTGTAGAAACAGGTAGATTTTTCTGGGCAGAAGACATACAACCAAAGAGGCTGGCAGTTGGCAAGGTGGCTGAGATCTAAAGGGGTATGCACTTTTGGCATGTACCAAGGCATGTGTTTCTGCAGGGTGGATGGAGCCCAAGGGTTGAGAGTCTGAGATCTGTGAGGAGGTCCCTTAGATCATGCCTCTCAAGGAAGTAATAGGATATGGATCTATCTAATATGGAAAGACCTTGGTGAACACCTTGGGTATTCGCTTAAAGATGCTCATGGAAAAGAAACTCTCTAGATGTTTGGATGCCTGTTAAAGAGAAAGGATAAGAAGTAGATATGTCTAAAGACATCTGGACTAGGAAGTCTTTGGAAGGTTACAGTTGTCACCACTGATTCCACCATTGGCTAGAATACAACTCTGAAAGTTCATGAGAAATAGAATCTGTAAGTTAGAATCTCTACAAATGCATCCTACAGCGCTGGCTCAGTGGTTAAGGGCACTTTCTTCTCTTCCAAAAGACCCAAGATTGGTTTCCACCACATACATTTTTCAGCTCACAACTGCCTGTAACTCCAGCTCCAGGGGATCTAATGCCCTCTTCTGGACTTCATAGGTACCTACACTCATACACACACACACAAACACAGGAGCATACGCATACATGAAAATAAATCTTAACAAAAACTTTACCAGATGTGCAGATGCAGGAAAGATCACTGATGACAAGAAGTTAGTAAAAAAAAAGACAAAAAGAAAGAAAAAAGAAGGCAAAGAACAATTTACTTTTTTAGAACTACTAAACAAGTACATTTAAACAAATTTAG